TCTCTCTCTCTCTCTCTCTCTCTCTCTCTCTCTCTCTCTCTCTCTCTACACATTATTGTTTTTATACACAATTAAATTTTATTTACAAGTTATACTTTAACCTTATAAATAAATTAAATGAGTTATTGATTTTTTATTAAACGTTTAATAAGCTTATCATGTTAATTTCTCTGATTTTTTTACAATGTTCTAAATATCTAGTAATAACTTACGTGTTAAATACTATATAATTATCTATATAATCATGTGTATATGGCTACTATTTATATTTCTTTTATCTCGTGCAAAGCAAGATAATATATCGTCTGTTCTTTTTGTCTTCTTAAATGAGGCAAAACACGTTTCCCGAAAAGCGGAAATTAATAAATGAAGATCAGTATCGTCAAGAAGGAATACGAGAAACTGTGAAAGCTTTAAAAGAATTACAGGACTATTGCTCTAGCCCGGAATGTAATACTTGGAAAACGGTTTTGAGACTGAAAGATCCTATAAGGTACGTGAATGTATAATTTACACGTGATATCGAACATTTATGTATAATTTATACGTGATATCGAACTATTAGGTCAAAATATAAACAAAGTTAAAGTTATTAATGTAGTAATATGGTTATTGAATCTTTTAGGTTTGCGAAATTTATGGAAGGAGATTCGCATCTGTACGAAGATGAAATTGAAGAACACGATGTCGAAATTTCGAAAATTCTCGATGAAGATGAATATACAGACGATGAGTATTAGGGAATATAAATATTTCAATCAAATACGTTTTCTAATGCGAAAGTTAAAATGATTATTTCCTGAGGACAATTTATGTTTCTCAAATATATCAACGTTAAAAATATAGTATTCATTTTGTTTTGTATAACTTTGCCTCTGACTAAACGGTAAAGTAGAAGGTTGTATTTAAATAAATTTATGGAAGGAGATTCGCATCTGTACGAAGATGAAATTGAAGAACACGATGTCGAAATTTCGAAAATTCTCGATGAAGATGAATATACAGACGATGAGTATTAGGGAATATAAATATTTCAATCAAATACGTTTTCTAATGCGAAAGTTAAAATGATTATTTCCTGAGGACAATTTATGTTTCTCAAATATATCAACGTTAAAAATATAGTATTCATTTTGTTTTGTATAACTTGGCCTCTGACTAAATGGCAAAGTAGAAGGTTGTATTTAAATAAACTTGTTTGCTCAAATATACTTTTAATTATTATCTTGTAAGAGAATAATATAGTGAATTTTTTGTCATATTCGTAGGAAATTCTACGAAAAATCTTGTTTCATATAGTGTTTGAGTAGCGATGCGCGTAAAATATTGCTTATGTATATATGCATTAATTTGAATCTTTGTAATAAGAATGTAATTTCCATAACGGAGAATAATTTTTCGAAAACACATGTATTTCTATGAAATATGTTTTTACGAATTTGTATCTGTTTGGAAATGTATGAAAATAAATACAATATCTTGACAATTGATCGATTTATTATTTACTTTAATCGCAGGCATATATCATTCAGATGGTTGAGTAAAAGATCTTTTAAATCCATTGTCATCGAATTTTATCCAAGGGATCTAAAATATTTGGCACGCAACAATCATATAATTTATTCGCTAGTAACTTTATATAATTCGGTACGACGAAATAGATTGCACAGATATCATTGTGTGAATAATTTACATTATTCGAGTAATTTATATCGTCTGTATCAATTTAGCGAAGTAATTTCTAAAAAACTTTTTATTATATATGAATTGATGTTGAAAAAACCGTGTTACGATAATCTGATCTGCTTCGGACTCTAATTTTAAGTGCAAAATCGTTACGAGGTAGGCGAGTGGATATTGTTTTATTAATGATACGTTAATTCCTACTTGTATATGTTAGTTTCGTACTCTTACTTTTACAAACAGAAAGTCAAGCTTTGCGCATTACATCATCCGATAATTCCAAGCATTTTCATTATTTTACAACTCGCGTGAACCGCGTCAATCATTGCATTTATACTTTGAGGTAAATAGCCAGTGTCCCTCAGCTTCTTCAGTACCGTGCACGTTGTCGGTGCCACTACCTTCCTTCCGAATTTTATGGATGCCTCAATACCTTTGAGTATCATTGCACGACCTGTGCTACCTATCTTATCAAGTATAATACACATTACAGTTTCGATCGTTGATATCGGTCTCAACGTAATTTGTGAAAGCAACTTCAACAAAGATATGTCTCCCACTTTGGGACACACTTTTTTTCCGATTAGTGCACCGTATCCGAAACCGCATAAATCTAATACAGGTTTAAGCACAATTTTGACCATGCCACCAGCGCTCTTCCCCATTCCCTTCAATACCAACTTTGTCACGGGATTCATTATGAGGCCTCTTTTGTTCCTTGAAAGAGGTCTTTCCCAAGGCACATCTTGGTAGTCGGATGTGTAGTCCTCGTCCAAATCTATAAGTAATACTTTAATAAGAACTCGATCGTAAGCACATGAATCGCAACACAAATATTATTGTCAATTTTCTATGAAGATTGTTACTATTTCCATGCTTATTTGTTAAAAGAAATCTGTTAAAACTTACTTATTAGATCTCTCGTCGAATTGATGTCTTCGTCAGCATAGCTTATGCAGGTCCAATATACTACGATCAAGGAGAAGACGAGAAGTGGCAGCTTCATTTTGTTAGTTGTTGGTTCTTGTTGGGTATCGAATTTCGCTGTTAAGGTTTTGTCTCGTCTCCTGCCTCGACGCGATTTTTTCTTACGAGCCAGTTTGCCACCGCGTCGCACTTCTTTTTATTATGCCCTCTTGGTCGATGCTTCGACAAGAATAATTAGCCGGCTACAACTTTTTGACAGCCTGACATCTTAGCTGGTGTAAATTGCTACCGGATTTGTGCGCGATAAAGGTGGCAAATGATGTCCGGAGTAGACACTTGTCTGATTCGATCGAGTTAATGTTCCGCTCGCTAATTATATACAACTGCATTCGTGCTCGAGTCGACGATTCGAAGATTTATTTTGTTCTTCTTATTGTGTAATTCGTAACGATTCTCGCGTAATTTTCTTCATTGCAAGCAAATAATCACGAATATTTTCGATTCGCGCGCTTTTGAGGCGCGTACCAACGATTCATAAAACGACATTAGCGGAACTAATAATAATATCGTCGACACAAACTTTTCATGAACAACGCACTGAGGCATATTACCGTACTCGTATCGTCAGACTCGTTATCGCGGTCACTAATTCTGTATGGTAAAATGCTCGGTGTCCGTGACGATATGTTCACGGCCAATTCACCTTCCACTGTGACATCGTTAAATTTTTACGTGACGTAACAGTCGACTTTTCCGGGTTTTCTTTTTACATTTTTATGGAAAAATATGATTTAACTCTTTCGCTACTAATTTTGTTTTTCAAAGATACAATCTTTTTTCCCTACCAATTTATTAAATACGTTAATATGTAAGTAACAAAAAAAGTTTCATATTTAGCGCCAAAGAGATAGGGCTGGATTTTTTTGGAAGGGTATATTTGTCTCAATGGGGAGAAGAGTAATAAATAAAATGATAGCTAATGTGTTCTGAATGCCAAAAAGCTGTTTATTTAATTGAAAAAGGTTATTTAAATGATGGTAGAAAGAGAGAGAGAATATGTCCTGTTAGCAAAGAGGTTAATGGGGATGAGCTCGAAAATTCGACATAAAATTCGAACTACTAAGCGGCAAAAATATCCAAAATATCGCTTCCATACACAGAGAATTTTAATAAAAATTACTATAGAATTTTACAACAAAAAAAATAGAATTTTGTAACCGGCAAGTAGATTTAATTGACTATTATTTCATCTCATATGTACTATATACTTTTACTTTAACAGATAGAATATTCAATGTTCGTTCAATTATAATATTTGAACATGCTGGGGGGTATTCACAAATATTTAGAGCGGCAAAAATAAGCAAGTATTCATAATTTGATGCTTCTCAAGACTACTAGAGAAATGATTGATGGATATGCTCTTACAATATGCTGTTCTTATATATTTTGTAACACGCGTACATTTTGTTATCGTCGAATAGGTGCGTATAAATACCGAATCGCGTGTGCAAGTGAGTCCACGCGAGAAGTTCATTATTATGGAATATATATGAGTCGTAAATTTTATTTATAATAAACTTGGCTAGACAGAGAGAGAGAGAGAGAGAGAGAGAGAGAGAGAGAGAGAGAGAGAGAGAGAGAG